ACAAACAGAAGCATAAGGTAAGAAGAGGTGAATTTGGAAAAGAACGAAATGGAAATTTATGATGGTAAAACGTCATTGAAATAAAGTAACTCGCTGAATGGATTGAATAGTAAACTGCTAAAGAAGGAATTAGCAGATCGTAAGATATCACAGAGGAGTTGAAATCTGGAAGGTAAAATGTAAAAGTCTGATAAGAGTTTATGGAGAATATATTAAAAAAACAACAGGACAGACAATATTCAAAAAGGTCATGGTTGAGAATTTTCCAGAATTAAATATCTCCTCAGTTTGGAGGAGGAAAGCTAATTTCTAACCATAATAGATAAAAAGGAATCTTCATTGTTATGTCTCAGTGGAACTTCATACCATCAACAACAAAACACAACAAGAAGCTGAAAGGCTACCATGGAGAAAGGACATTTACTTATAAAGACATGACAAAAGGCAGACTTCTCCTCAGCAAGACCAGAAACCAGAAATAAGTGAAATAATATCTCCAAATTGCTGAGGGAAAATAACAGTCCGTCTAAAATTCTACTCCTAATAAAGCTGTCATCCAGGATTAAAGGCAAAATAAAGGTTTTCGTCATCCAGCGACTTAGGTGAGTTTATCCCCCACAGACCATTGTTAAAAGAATTACTAAAAATGTCCTTCAGTAGAAGGAAATTAAATCCAGAAGGAAGGAATGGGCTGACAAAAGCAAAGAGGTTAGTAAGGATGTTGGTTTATTCATCGAAGTACAGATTGGAAGTGGTGATGATAACTAATGGAGGTATAAAACCAAGGTGAAACTAAAGTACTAGTTAGTCACGTGGAGGATGAAAGAAGACATTCTAAGATCCTTTTACTTTCAGAAGAAAGAGAGAAATATTGATTAACTTATATCTTTAAAACTTAAGCATAACTGCTAAAAGCATAAACGCTTAACATAAACACCTGCAAACCAGTTGGGGGTGGGGGGTATCAAAGAAAGCTATCAACCTGACAGCAGGCGAGAATGAGGGAAAGAAACACATCATAAATAGAAAACACAAAGTAAGTTTTCATATATACGCACGCGCGCGCGTGTGTGTGTGTGTGTGTGTGTGTGTGTGTGGTGTGTGTATGTGTGGGGGGGTATGCATGTATGATGGCAAAAACAAGATATATCAGTATTTACAACAAACCAATATAACTCACATCTTAATACTATAATATTAGATTTTATTTTAATTATCCATGTGCCACTAAGGTAATACACTCAAAATAATGCAACATTTAGAAATCCTACTCTCCCTTGTGGGTTTTATAATTGAAGAGGGTCATGGTGAGAAAGTGACATTGAAAAGGACTATGATTTCTTGCCTCAGAGACTAGAATACCATGTACTAAGGGTGATAGATGAGGAAGTTCCACCTTGGAAGGGAGAATAAATGAACACTTATTGAGTTGTTCCTAAGTCTTCATTGGGACCTACAAAGCAACTAAGGAGCGGCATCAGAGAGAAGAGCCTGTGTCGTGTGCTGTGGACGCCCAGACACAGGCGGAGGCTGTGGAGCGTGTGATGGCTCGGAGGCCCCCAAAAGAAGGGAGGATTCAAGAAGAAATGAAAAGAGATTTCAGGGATGAAGAAAATGGTCAGCAGTGTCCGTACTGGAGACAGGTTGAGCAGAATGTGTATTGAGAAGCCACCTTTGCGTCAAGCTTTAAGAGGACAGATTCGTAGGGTATCGGGCCTACTGGGAAGAGACTGAGGGAGAACGTGGCAAGTAAGAAATTGAGGAAGCGGGAAGTTCAGCACCGAAGGGAAGACAGCAGCCTCAAAGGAAGGTATCTTGGAAGAGGCGACAACCGTATTTAAGAATAAAACTTAATTATCTACGGCCCTCGGGGAAGTGAGTTTTCCAGGTAGCCATCTTTTCCAGGTGACCTAATGCTTGTTTTATAAGATACCAAAAGCTAATTTTGACCATTTTTAAAATACCCAAAGTCACCAGCAATAGCAATATCAGGGTGGCCTCTTGCCTCTAGCTATGGATGATGCTCTTTCATGACTTGAATAAAGCCAGTTAGATGTCGTGTAACCTTGTTTCTCTCAGTTATTTCCCCCTGACCACAGGAGCTGTGGAGACCTATTTGCCTTTAACAGCCACACAGAGTTGTGTCTTGATTTCATGTATCTGGTGGGTTTTGGGGGTGGGTTTTTTGGCATCTTTGAGTGTCTTCTATTGTCGGCCATATTTTCTTATAGCTTGCCGTAATTTTCTGTGTCTCGTCTGCTCATGAGCTGGGTTAAGGCGTGTTCAGCCCTGATAGATGGGTCATCTCCGTATATTGACTCAGCCAGGTTTCTGAACCTGAAAAGCTACATCCAGATCTGGTCAATCACTAGAATAATAAATGTCATCCTGATATCACTGGTGGCCTTTTCCTACATTGTTATGTCTCAGATACATAATTTAATGTAAAACTAAGAGTAACCTGGGCTGAACATCTGAGAGCTCTTCTTTTTTTTTTTTTTTTTTTCCTTTTTGTCTTTTTTACTGACCGGTAACGGGATCGCAACCCTCGGTGTCGCGCCCGTACCGGGACCGGCAACGGGATCGCAACCCTCGGTGTTGCGCCCGCACCATGCTCAGCCAGTGAGCGGGAACCGGTCTCCACATGGGATCCGAACCCTCGGCGGGAGCGCCACCACACTCCCAAGCCGCGCACTCTCCAGTGCGCCACCGGGCCGGCCCCTGAGAGCTCTTCTGAATGGAGTATTTGAGCTGCATTATGTGGGTTTTGAGACATTTATTTGGCTCTTCAGCCAAAGGCTTCTTTGGAGCCCTTTCTGTGTGTTTCCTGATCTCAGGAGGAATAGAACCCTCAGAGAGGACTGACTGGTTGCACCTTCCCTGAGGTAAAATTTAGATTTCTGCTATAAAGCCCATCATTGTCTCAGTACAGATAGAAAAAGGTGTCTCTCCTACTACCCGTCCTACAGGAAGAAAGGTATTTACTTTTTTATTAACTGTAGCCTCCCCTTGTCTGTAACGTATGCTACACTTCTGTCTGGGCTGTAAGAATCAAAGGCTTGATTCTTGAGGCTCTACATCCTGGATTCTTCACAATCCTGAAATCATTTGCTACAGCAGTTGTTAAGTAATGTAACAACAGCGCTATATGCAGGTCTTTTTTAACAGGAGAGTCTGTAAACACATAAGGGGTTTTGACAGAAGAAACAGAGAGGCTTCTGGTGTTCTGAATTCCATAACTCACAGTTCTGCAGGCAAGGCTGAGACATTCCAAATGGGGAAAGGTCACTTGCAATATCAGGGTGGTCCCTCATAAAAGGCCCACAGACTGTCTTCTAAGAGGACTTACAGTGTGATATTTATTATCTTGGTGGTTTACCAGAGTTTGGCTCTTAGCTTTTTAGGTTCAGAAACTGATTTAATCAAGATATAGAGATTCATTATCGGAGCTGGGCTCACCTTAACCAAGTTCACAAGGTCTATAAACCAAAATGCCGGGCCGGCCCCGAGGCGCACTCGGGAGAGTACAGTGCTGGGAGCCACAGGTTCGGATCCTATATAGGACTGGCCGGTGCACTCACTAGCTGAGCGCGGTGCGGGCGATGCCACACCAAGGGTTGTGATCCCCTTACCGGTCACGAAAAAGACAAAAAAAAAAAATGCCAGTTGACATTTATATGGACAAATATAACTGACTGATAAAGTACAAGTGAGTGGCTTATCCTTTCCCTGTATGCAGGTCTACACAGGGGGGCAGATCATTATCAGAACGTTATTTGGTGAACATGAAATCAGAATAAAGGTGAATCACATGTTTAGTGACATAGTCTAAGAGAGTAAGCCATCCCTCACCAAATACGGCCCTGCCAGTGGAACTAAAGTTCTTTGAAGTCTGTCAAGTAAGACTTTCTGCCCTAATCAGTATTCGGACAGAAACCTGCCAGAGTTTTGTCTCATTTTTTATGCCTCAAGACTAACCAAGGCCCATGCTCACCCAAATCACCTCCCAAGTTAGTCTTCTATAGATGTTAATAATTTCCATCAGCTTATGGCAATCATTATTTTTCCTCAAGTTTACAGTTTAAATCTCAATGAGCAATCTTATTTTCAAATTCTTGAGGGACCCCTCACTCTACTGACATTGGTCAAGAGGAGAGGGTGGCATTGTAAGGATGAGCGGAGCACTCACCCCACACCATGTGTTATCAGTCAAAAAACACCTTCACCTTCCTGCTATATTCCTATGCACTATTTTTTTTAAATCAACTCATTTTTGGGGCCGGCCCGGTGGCGCACTGGATAGTGCGCCGCTTGGGAAGCGCGGCAGCGCTTCCGCCCGAGGGTTCGGATCCCACATACGGACCGGTTCCCGCTCACTGGCTGAGCGAGGCGCGGGAGCAGCGCCGAGGGTTGCGATCCCATTGCTGGTCCCCAGTCCGGTGCGGGGGCAACACTGAGGGTTGCGATCCGTTGCCGGACACGGAAAAAGACAAAAGACAAAAAAAAAAAATCAACTCATTTTTTAAAAAGAAATTTATTTTAAAAGGAGATCTTCCCCTACCATAAATGAGAAATTGCTATCCTTTGTCACAAAAAGAACATAGTCCTAAAATAAATATATTGAAAATAAAAGTTCTTATTTTTTCCATGTACTTTTTTAGCTAAATACTGTGTGCCCTGGAAAGCTGTGAGCCTGAGCAGATCTTTTAAGGTACATTAGCACCAGACTGAGACCCTCTCCTCAATGTAATAAAAAAACATCAAAAGAGGACTGAGCAGTGGGATAATTTAGGAGGCTATTTAATGTATTTAGTGCCTTGTCCAACTATGGCCTAAAAAATAGTCTCACATTAGGCCTCCCACATTTTAAGAAAAGATGATGTAGTTTTTTTAAACTTTAAGGGTATTTGGAAACTGTTGATATGACTGTAGTGATGCCTCCTGCTCCCAGCATCACCTGAGCTGTACTGACTGTCTTATTCCTGCCTCTCCCTGCACAGGTACACACTGGCAGCTCAGGACCTGGTGATGCGTGCTCGGGGAGTCCTGAAGGACAGAGGATGGCGGATATCTAATGATCGGCTGGGCTCAGGAGACGACATTTCTGTATATGTCATTCCTTTAATACATGGAAATAAACTGTCATGAAATTGCCCCGGGGGGTTGGGAGGACAAAGGGGAAGAAAACTGGGATGCCTCTTGGCTGGGTGGAACTGGGAAGTGCCTGGCTGAGTTCCAAGTGATGCAGTCTTCCCAGCCCAGGTGGGGAGTTTTCTGCCAAAAGGCCTCTGGCTGTGCTTCAGATGACCGTTAGGTTTCCATTTCTTCTTTAGTAACAGGTCTGACACTTAACAAGAACAAAACACAAAGGCTGCTACTGAGTGTTGTATTTCTCTTGGTTCTTTTTATAGGGAAGCCTAGGTGGCCATGGTCTATTTTGGGCACGTACTTCATATTTATTTTATCTAGAGTAGCTAGGGCAGCCTCTTTCAGGTATAACTGGCAGGAGACTCTTCAGCCTGTCAAGCTGCCAACTTCTTTCTCTACGGGTTAAAAGTGCTGCATTGGAAAGTTGAGGATCATGCCTCGGAGGGCGTGGGCACCCACCTTCTAGGAAGCCTGAGATTTATTTCAGGGATTGTTGCCTACCATTCCCTTTCTCCCTCCCTCTTTCTCTTTATTCTTTTGTGGTGATGGCGGGGTGAGGCAGGGATATTTTTCTTTTTCGACATTCCTTGAGTCTTAACTTTTTCCCTCCCATAGAACAGGACTGGGACTTGTCAACTCCTTGCTGAGGAATTTCTGTGTCAAAGTCCAACCCACATGGGGTGTCCTCATGGTTTCCAGACCACACCACCCAGGTAGCCATCTAGAGTAGTGCCTTGCGTGACAGAGTGTGTCCTTGTTGTGTAACATTTGTTCCCGAGTTGCATTTTCTCACCAAATCAGCGTATTTTCGTGATAATATGGGTTTTTCATTGGCCACAGTTCCTGTCGCCCTTGCGTGGCTTGAGGTTTCTCTGTGAGTCTAGGTTTTCACTTCTGGGATGGTTGGTCCTCTCTCATGTGGGGTGTCAGGGAGACACATAAAGCAGTGTTTGCTGGAGCAGTTTAGGAAATTCCTTGTATCAGTTGGTTCACTGCACCTCTTTGGAGGACCATTTTGGCTCCAGGTTTCATGGGTTGTGGCTGTCCCTAGGCCCACTCCACACACAGTGTGTCAGAGTTCTGTCAAGGGGCACTTCTCTCCCTGTCATCTTCGTGCAAGGCCCACTCAGGATGGCCCTTTAATAAAAGTGAATTTGAACTGGGTTGGCTGGTTATTCTCATGCTGTGCTCCCTGTCCCTTCTCCAGAGAATCATGTCCTGGCTACCCAGGAACTGACCCCTCGTCCCACTCTAGTTCCACCTCTGCGTGTTCCTCACAAGAGCAGCAACAGTTGACACCGAACGGACAGACACCATTTCTACCTGCTGCTTCTCTGCCAGGGGGAATAGCAGAGTAGATTTTAAAAATCACTTCTGTCTCTCAGGCAGACTGCTGCTCTGCACTGGGGAACCTTGTAGAACAACATCTAATTGCCTCGTCGTCTTCCCGCTGAGCTGCTGGGGTGTCATCACCATTTTGACAACTTCGTGTAATTAAAACACTCTTTGGACCCAATAAACAAAAAAGTCATTGGTGTGATCCCCAGAAGTCCTGAAGAGCCAATTCCAGTTCTCATGGTTGTTTGAATTCCTTCCCCAGAGGAGAGGAGAGGAACGTTTCCTCCAGGGTCATAAATCGCCTGCACTCCTGGAGTTGTAGATATTTTCTCAGGAAGGCCCGGAGCCTTCCTGCTCAGGAAGGAATTCATTCCACAGTGTGGCAACAGTGCCCTGTCAGGCAGGTGAAGGACGGTGGCAGTTCACCCCACCAGGTGTTTGCCGAAATGTCGTCTGGGAGGAACTGGACTACCCCCTTGTCAGGACTCGCCTTCGTCTGAGAGCGTTTCCTCTTCCTCTGGTAAATCCTAGTTACCCCGAATGTCTCTGTGGGGAGAAGTTTGTGGTAAACCATTTGCTTCCCTGGCAGAATATGATGCTATGGGGAAACATTCAGGCAGCCTGCGGCAGTGCGGTCCGCTTCCTGCTCCTGCCCCGACTCACAGTCATGTATAAATTGCAAACATGAGAGAGTCTTCCGTGGAGGACCCTGAGCTGCCTTCTTGAGGATCTTTCCTGTGTTCCCGTTGCCTTTCATTTCTTTGCTTTCCTCGACCTCTGTCTGGGTCCTACCTTGAGCTTCTCTGGTGTTATTCATGCCATCAGAGTCAATGTGGGTGTAGCTATCATGTAGATGTATTCAATTCAACCATTCATTTACCGCCGAGGCATGGCTCAGGAAAAACCCTGGAAACCCTTTATCTAAACTATCCTAAAATCTTGAGCATTTGATGCTGCTGATTTTAGTTAGAAAGGTACCCAGGAATTCCTTTCATAAGCCCCTTTGGGTGGAAAGATCTTAGTAGCAAGCAAATCCATGTTTGTGTTTGGGGGATGGGAAGAAGACTACAAATGAGGTGAATAAATGAAAAGTGGAAAGCAGGATTTATTAACTCCCATGACGGATCTGCCCAGTCGTGGTGTTGCTCTGTGAATGGAGCTTACTCAGTTTTGGCTTTATTTTTCACCCAGGCCCTGAGTCACCCCATCCTGGAATATAATTGTGTCTATACAACAGGCTGGTCCTTGGAGCATTCCTGGAAAGGTCAAAAGACAGCACACTCAAAATTGTGCACAACATGTTAAAACGTGGTTCTGAAATCCTGTGTATCTGACTTATAGCCAAATCTGCTTGCCCTAATACCTCAGAGGAAGTCTTGTTTAATGAAAAGCTTTTGATTTCCTAGGCAAGGCTTTATGGTGGGGGGATGGGGGGCACACGGAGAGTGGTGGTCACTTCCTTTAATGAAAATCTGCTTAAGCTCTAAATCTCTTTGTTGGGCTGGCCTCTGCTCTTCAGACTGTTTGTTGAAGTCTTTTTCTTAAAGGGAATGAACTCAAAGTCCAGCCACACTCTGCATGTGTTGCTAGAGGACAACCCAAGCTTTGTTCTTGTGACACCTGAAATCAGAGCAGTGTCAGCAGTCAGGGAGGCAGAGGTGTGTCTGCTGTGGTTGTGCGTACCTGAGTGTTGCTCTTGAGGTAGGAGGGGAGGTGGAAAAGGGGCTAAGCCAAGTACTCAGCTGTCTAATAGGACAAAGCCTTTACAAGTGGGAATCTCAGTTATTTTCCATAATATTGAGCTTGGAAGGATTTGGGGTGTGTAGTTTTTGAATTCCCAGCAACTCACTTCTCTGGGGCTTTGTGCAGGCAGTTGTGCCCACCCTCTTTTTACTCTTCCCTCTAAGTATTTATTTACTTCTTGGGAAGAATTGCAGCCATAGGTAGATATTAGTAGATAACGAGAGTCCCAGTACCCCGATTTGGCCTCAGTTCTTGGCCATTCAAACAGGATTTTCAGTTTACCAAGAGCATTAGCATGGAAACACTTAGAATAAATCTCCCACATCTTTAAAATTCTGATTCTCCCCTCCATAGCTCCTTTCTCACCTCCTTCCTTATCTGCTGATCAACTTTATTTATTTATAAGGCCTCAAGTGGTCAGTGGTTTCCTTCCCACCAGTTGGAGGATCTGACCTTTCCTTAAGTGACCCAGCAGCTCCACTGTTTTCAGAGTGAATGTGTTAAGCTGTGATTAGAATCTATTTTCAGAAGTTAGTGCTTCTGGGACACTTGGAGAAAGCTGTGAGAATCACTGCCTAAATGACAATTGTCTAATTGCAAAGAACAATCAGGCTGATCCTAAAAGTTATCTAAGAAAATGGTAAAACAGTCTCTGGCCACAGGACAGAATTTTATGTTAGGAACTTGGATTTTTGAGGGCTTACAAAGAAATGCTGCAGCCTGCACACCACAGCCCACCTTTCTGAGCAACTGTGGTTTTGTGTGGGTGATGTGGCATATGTGTGTACACTGGGATTTTTCAAGGACACTACATGAGCAGCTTGACTTGCCTCTTTGTCAGATTCGAGTGCCAGTCTAGGGAGTACTGCTCTTTCTAATCCACAGTGTTACCTGTGTAAATAGTTTTAATTTTTCCTCTGTGTCTTAGATGAAGTTTTGTTCGTGTAGCAACCAGGTAGACAGTGACCAAATAAGGCTGTAAACGTGCTGTTGTTTTCTACGGTGATGTACTTGAGGAAGGAGAATCTCGTGCCCACCACTCTTCTGATCTCCCACGAGTATTTTGTGTTTGTTTGGGGGGTCCCAACGTTACTCTTTACTCCTGTTTTGCCACCAATTTTCTGTTTCTTGTGGAGACCCGGGGAGGTCCATGGCAGAGGTGATTTGTAAGGAATGTGTCATGGTCTGGGTTCCCAAAACTACCCTCTGTACAATGAATGAGAGGAATCTGCCTGGAAATGGTTTCAGAACCATGTACCTTTATGCTTTGTGATTGTGAAACAATGACTTTTGTAACCCCTAAATGAAAACTGTTTAGCAAAGGGGATCTATTTTGTGTGTTCTGAAATTTAGGTGCAATGTCCCCTCGAAAAAGCTAAAGAAATGTATATGCTCAATGACATTTTAAAATAAAATATATATATGTATATAGGACATCTTTAGAAAAACTTTTTTGTGTCTTTGAATTCATTGTGACATTTCTTCATGTCAGGTAATGGAATGGCACAAGAGTGTATCATGGCTTGATGTGAGGTTATCAACTGTGAACACAGACTCAAAAGAAAATCAAAAGGGAATGAATGCCAACACTGTAAGCTTTCACAGGAATAGCAGGAAAGGCGAACCATACATTTCAAATATGCCTCTAGAGAAACGACCGTGGATAGCATGTGTAAACATTGGGAGAATTCAGAGAAAAGAATTACTCTCTAGAGGTATTCTTAAGTGAGAGGACTAGTGCCTAATCTTCTGGCTGAAGACAGTAAGAACCAAGACTCCCCTAAATCGCTTAAGCATTTTAAGTACTTACAAAGTGTTAGCACGATGTACCATCTTATAGAGTTACCTTAACAGGTGGGGTAAGGCATGAAAGAATGCTAATTCTGCCTAGTTCTAGTGTCCAGAAGAAAAAGTAATCTAGAAAATATCAACAGAACGCTAAAAACGATCTAAGTACTGATTCACAGAAGAAAGCTAAAAGTCGGTTATGGCTTATCTGAAGCTTGCTTAGGAAGAACAGGATAGGAGACAGTCAGATTGGAATGATTCTGTTGTAAAACCTCCCCAGCTCTTTCTGCCTTCACTTGTACCCTGATACTTGTAATGCCTCCTCCCCTACTCAATAGTAGAAACGAATGGAAAGAGTCAATCCTTGGATTAGATACCTGAAAATTGCTGCATGTCTGTGGAAGACAAAGGAGTCTTCTAGCATTTTCTTATGAGCTGTGCTTAGCTTATCTGATTAGCTCTTCAAAGGTGTGGGAGTTTATCTCCAAAAAGGGCTGCCAATGGTGCCTCCTAAGTCTGTTTGCAAATATTCCTTTACCCTTCAATAGGTGGGGTTTGTTTCCTCATTCCTTGAATCTGGTCTGGCTTGGGACTTGCTTTAATAGAATGCAGAAGTGACACTGGGAGATTTCGAAGCCTAGATTTCTATAGGCCTTGTGGCACCTACTCTCACTCTTGGACGCCAGTCGCCCAGACATTAGGAGTGAGGCCTCCTTCAATCCTCAAGCCCCAGTTGAGTCAGTCCAGACAAAACCCCAGGAGAGGCCCAGCCAGCTCTCACTGTCTGGGCCATTCCAGCTGAGGCCACAGGCTTTGTAGAACAGAGAAGAGCCATCCCCACAGAACCCTGCCCAAATTCCTGGCCCATAGAACCATGAGCAAATAAGATGTTTTTTGTTTTAAGCCACTAAGTTTTAGACAATTTTAATAGATAATTGAAATAAGTTATGGAGAACCTGGCTCTGGGGTATTTAGGATAAAGTGGTTAAAAATATAAATTAAAGGGCTGGCCCGGTGGCGCACTGCTACAGTGCGCCACTTGGGAGCGTGGCGGCACTCCCGCCGAGGGTTCGGATCCCACATACAGACCGGTTCCCGCTCACTGGCTGAGCGAGGAGTGGGCGCAACACCGAGGGTTGCGATCCCGTTGCCGGTCCCGGTCCGGTGCGGGAGCGACACTGAGGGTTGCGATCCATTGCCGGACACGAAAAAAGACAAAAAGAAAAAAAAAAAATATATATATATATATATATATAAATTTAAAAAAGAAGATGGCATCGAGAGAATATACTTATGACTTGGGAAATAATCTTCCATATGGAACCTGGAAGGGTGACTGAGATGGGGAACCAGCTTGTCACAATAATGCATTGACTGACTGGTGATCCATGCTCAGCAAGAGTTCTGTGCCACATGGATGCTTTTGCTTCCTCAAGCAGCTTGGAATCATTGGGAAGTCAGGAAAATGATCACCAGTTGGGAGCTATAGAAGAGGAATACAAAGGTTCTTCACCCCTTGCTTATGATAAGACCATCCTATGTAGCACTATTTATGACCTTGGGACAGTCACTTGGTTCATTGGGTCCCAAGACTGTTACTTGAGAGTATGAAGAAAAACAAGACAGTTTTAAAATTGTATGTGATTGTATGTATTTTTTAAAAATTCTTATCATTTAAAAATCCCTATTTACAAAATACTTTAAACTTGTTGCCATTCCAGTTTTTTCCTTTAACTAAATGACAGGCCAAAGAGCAGCTGCATAGGCTAGCAATTAGTTTGCCTTTTTAATTGCTTTTTCTATCATTAGAGCCCTAAAATGATTGTTTTTGGCTCAGTATCATCTCCCTACATTTTCAGTCTCTTTTCACTACTGACAAGATTTTCCAGCCAGCTAACCTCCTTTGCTTTATTGATTCAAATTAGGCTGCCTGCAAGAGATGGAGAGAGTGACTGAGCACAAGGTGGGGGCATTGTGCATGCACCTCGATTGTTTTCCAGAGACTAGGCCTGATCAGTTTGCTGAACCAAGGAGGCCATGCACGAGGCTTTGGAAGGTTTGAATGCAGACCTGGAGAACAGCACTTCCCTGAAAGGAGCACACCAACCTGAGCTTTTTCTTTAATCCTCTTTTTAAAATTTAGTATTTGCAAATCTAGTCACTATAAAGTAAAAGCAGATGAGTGCATTCAGAAGGCACTGTTGTGTAGTGGGTGTGGGGGAATGATTGGCATGAGAGTGGGAGAAAAGTGAAGTCACAGCAGCAAAATGTCCCAAACCAACGCACCTCACTCTTTAAATACTAATGGAAGTAGTATGCTTACTAACCAGACATCTCTGATTTAAACTAAAGAATTGTAGAACCTGCAAAAAGTGGTCTTAGCAGTTTTGAATTAGACATCATCTCCCTGTTGAGTTTGGTCAGTGAGGAAAAAAAGTTGGGAGACATTTCGAAAGAACTGCAAAATCTCCACTCTGATTGTCCTAGGTGAAAAAATGAAATTTCCCATTCGTGGTAGCCTTAAACACAAGTCAGAGAATATTTGGCCGATATATCAATTGCACAGTGGAATTTGAAAGAAAATTAACAATGTGGTTCTCATAATTACAAAAATGATAAGTGCTATCATTAGTATTACATGCCTTAAAATACGGTGCAAATAGACTCAAATATTTATAGATGAAATGTTGTAATGTATGTCTTAGAATTGCTTCAAAGCAATAAGTGGGGGAGCAGTGGATGGGTTTATAAATGAAACAAGGTTGGCTGTGTTGAAGAGGTATTAATGCAAACTTGAAAATAAAAGGATGACTGCATGTTTTTTTCAATGTCTTCCCTGGAATATCATCTGCCAGGACCACCCAAGGATTATGTAGTTCTTCGGTTATGGTTTAGCTAATTTTTTCTGTAGAGGGCTCAGTAGTTAATATTTAGGCATTATAGGCCATTTGGACTCTGTCACAACTACTCAGATCAGCTATTGTGGCACAAAAGCAGCCACAGACAATCTGAACTAGCATCTGTTCTAAAGCTGTATAAAGTGAAGCTTCATACCTTGACCAGAAGAATTAACTTATGTGGGCTGATCTTGCCTCTCACATTTGAAATGAAGAAAGTCTTTTGAACATATTAATGAACAAAGGCTTATCACTAAGGGAAAACCAGGTAGATCCATAATCATTATCTTGTTTTATTGAGTTATAAACAGGACAGTTTATAAATTTGCCAGTTTTTATTGCTAACACAGTTCTACATTCAGCTTTTAGCCAGTGCTGGTGGATGAATCAGGGCTGTGATACTGTATTTCCTCAATACTAAGACACCATCAATATATAATGTCGCCAGTTCAAAATAATTTGTTTTTTTAATTGCAAGGAGGAACTTAACCCGTCATTTGCCACACTCCAGCTGTGAAGCAAAGAAAAACATACATGTTCTTATTGTTTATTATGCCTTGTGCTAGGTACTTGAGATCTGGATTCATTTATCTCTTTCTCAGGTAAATATTATCTTTTGCAAATGAGGGAATAATTTCATTCTATTGTAATCTGAGAACATACTTTGTATATTTCAATCCTTTTTAAATTTATTGAGATTTCTTTTATGGCCTAATATGGTCTATCCTGGAGAATGTTCCATGAGCACATGAGAAGAATGTATACTCTGCTGCTGTTGGGTGGAGTTTCTGTAGATGTCTGATAGATCTAGTTAGTTTATCATATTGTTCAAGTCTTCTATTTCCTTGTTGCTCTTCTGCCTATTTGTTCTATTCATTACTGAAAGTGGGGTACTAAAGTCTTCAAATATTACTGTTGAATTGTCTATTTCTCTTTCAGTCCTATCCATTTTTGCTTCATGTATTTGGGGGTTGGGGCTCTGTTGTTAGGTGCATATGTATTTATAACTGGTATGTTTTCCCAGTGGATTGGCCCTTTTGTCATTATAAAGTGTCCTTCTTTATTTCTGGTAACAACTTTTGTCTTAAAGTTTATTTTGTCCTATATTTGTACAGCCACTACTACTCTTATTTTATTACTTTTTGCATAGTACATCTTTTCCCATCCTTTTACTTTCAACCTATTTGTATTTTTTAATCCAAAGTGTGTTTTATAGATTATAGTTGGATCATGTTTTTTATTCTGCCAATCTCTTCCTTTTAATTGTAATGTTTAGTCCACATACACTTAATGTAATAACTGAGATCGGACTTATATCTGCCATTTTCCTATTTTCTATATGTCTTTTGTGTTTTTGCTCCTTTATACTTCCTTTACTGCCTTCTTTTATGTAAAATAATTTCTAGTGTACCATTTTAATTCCCTGTTGTTTCTTTATTGTTTGAGTTATTTTCTTAGTGGTTGTCCTGGAGATTACAATTAGCATTTTAACTTAAAATAATCTAGTTTGTGTTAACACAAACCTAATTTCAATAGTATATGAAAACTTTGCTGCAATATATACTTCCATTCCATTCCTCTTCCTTTGTGCTATTATTGGTCATACAAATTACATCTCTTAACTATATAAGCCTATCAACACTTTAATAAGTATTGTTTTATGCAGTTGTTTTTTAAATTATGTGGGAGAAGAAAAGAGTTACAAACAAAAATACATTTATACTGTCTTTTATATTTCCTATGTATTTACCCTTACTGGTTTT